TTTGCATCCCTAAATGCAACACATTCATGTTTTTTCCAACTTGCCTGTATTAATGATGAATGATATGCTAATCAATAGCCAATTTACAGAAATAACAAATTGCAGGCTTTTTGTGTTTTTTTAAAGAAAAAGTAACAAAGAAAAGTCATGCTTTAACCCTCTGAACTCCAGAACCTGCTGGTGAGTTTGAAAGGCATGTTCTTTATTTATTATTTTTTTTTAAAATAAAGTAAATTACACCATTCAGCAGCCAGAAATTGTAAAAACACAACAAATCATGAAAAACATAAAAAGGAGCGGCTACTTTTCATGTGGTTTTTAAAAAATTCATATAAACAAGAGTGGTGATAAATAAAAGCTAAATCAAGTTCTTTATAAATGTTGCCTCTGTTGTTTCTGACTGTGGATAAGTGAGCTGCCCGTCAGTGCATCTGTCCCTGAACTGTTCATGCTTCATGCTGTTGGCCTCTACGAGTGTTTCATGTTTAAAGTTTGTGGTCGTATCAGCAAGCTTGGCTCGGTCACACCGAGAGCAGCACATTCAGCACACGGCGTTCTGTTATTTGCAGCAACTATAAACTCTGTGAGTATTCCTGTCAGTAAAAGTAAATCTTTGCCTTTTTAAACAAAAAATCAACTGCTGATTCCTCGTCTTAACTGTCGTTATCAGAAATGTGTATCTGTGGTGACACAGGAGGCTCTGCATGAGCTTACTTCAGAAGAATGAGTTGATATCTGTCCTCGTCATTCAATTTAGTGGTTTTAGTCTCCAGGAATGATCAGACAATGCAGACTGGAGACCTGTTGTGTTGGATTATATCACTGTTATTAAATTATAGTAATTTGCCTCCCTCCTGTATGTTAACGACGTGGACGAGTAACTACAAACTGAACTCTGTATTTGAGATAAACGGCTTCTTAATGTCCTGCTATTATTTTTCAGCCAAGATTCAGAGGAAAAAAATACTGCTGTCTATGTATTTAATCTCTGCTTGTGTTATTGTGAATGGAATATGGTATTTACCCATGATTCTCTGCTTTTAGTTATGACACGCTGCTGGCCCATAATGCTCGGCTGCACCCAGGCGAGGACAACTTCACAAGAACGATGGTGAAACGAAACAACGAGACCATCTTCCAGCAGACGGTCAACGACCTCACCTTTGATGGCAGCTTCGTCAAAGTGGAGGACGACGAGGCTGAGGACATGTCCCGCAAAGGCATCGCCCTCAGCAAGACACCCATCATGAGGATCAAGAGCCGGTCAGAGCCCAAGAAGTTCGCCACGCACAAGATGGCCGTCGACGACGTCATCAAAGTGGAAAGCGACGACGAGGACGAGGAGAACAAGGAGCCGCCCACGCTGTCGCCCGCCCCGATGACCCCAGCAGCTGTCGCCCCTCGCCTCATCCCCGTGTCCGCGCCGGTGCAGGTCCAGGCCGTCCCCCAGAGCATCGTGGTCAACAGCCCCAACGTGCTGCAGATCAAAGGCGGCTCCGGCGGCGGCGCCGTGCTGCCTCCAGGGACGCTGGCCCAGGTTCTGTCCGCGCTGCAGAACCAGCAGAACAACAGTCAGACGCAGACGCAGCTCCTCATCCCCATCAGCAGCATCCCCACCTACAACACCGCCATGGACAACAACGTCCTGCTGGTCAGCGCCTACAACAGGTAACTACACCTGCAGCCTCAGAATGTTTGTGTGTTTTAGTTCTGTATCTGTTTTATTGTCAACCACCAAACAATCAGCAGTGTCAGGCTAGAACCTGTGGGCTTTGAGTGAAGATGCAAATCTCTAAAACACCGGTCATACATACAGGATAACTTCTCCTCAGTCGTTTCCTGACACAGCTGGTCACTCAGTCGGCAGGAGGAAATCGTGCAAGTGTTGGGAGCTACTTTCAGTGGCGGATTAAACCACATTTAGCCCTTCATTACAGAGCTGCTGCAATTAGTGAGCATAATCGATGACACAGAAATTTACAGAGTTTTCTCTTAGGGATCAATAAAGTATGTCTATTCTATTTTTTTTTCTTTTTCTTTTTTTTTTCTTTTTTCAACTGTCTCCTGCAACTTTATGCACTTATTTGACTTCACATGACTTTTATTGTACATTTCTGAGTGAAGTCTCAGTGCAAAAGAGCTGCAAATGATGATTATTTTTAGACTCAATTATTCTGTTTTTTTATCTCGGTTAATCAAATAATTGTTTGCTCTATAAAATGTCAGAAAATAGTAAAACATGTCAATCAGTGTAAGTAATGTAGTGTGAGTGTGCAGGAGCCTGTGGACCAAGAGAACATTAAAACGCTCATTAAATTACACCCTCTCAGGAAAAGCGCTCACCTGTTGCTTTTGTTTGTTTCAACTTTTTTGTGCCTGTTTAGCAATGAATAAAATGTTCTAAATGAAAATTCTGTTGTACGGTATATAATATCGCAGCATGTATGTTGTTTCCTCCAAGACTAAGACCTCAGAGGGTTAATTTAGGTCTGAGTGATGCTGAAAGGTTTATACCAATTCACCTTTAGTTATAGAGTGCACAAAGGGCTACACAGAAAAGGGGGAAAGCAATAAAATGACAAAACTTAGCATAGTAAAATTCCTTTTATTGTATTCTGTTTTTGAAAACATGTTTCAATGCGGCAGTTTAAGAGTCTTCCGTCATACGCTGACAGACTCTCTTGAATCACTTTGTTTATGTTTGTTTTTATTGTCAAACATTATGTCTCCAGCTATAAAAATCATCAGGAACCTGAGATGTCATTCTGCTGTTTTCACTCACTGTGTCGTTTCCTTTTCTTATTTACCAGCTCACTTTACAGAAATGTAACCGTCAGCATCTGGTCTTGTGTTACAGGTTTCCGTATCCCTCCGTGTCAGAGATCATGGGCTTGTCATCGCAGACCAAGTTCAGCGAGGAGCAGATCAAAGTCTGGTTTTCTGCTCAGAGGCTCAAACACGGAGTCAGCTGGACACCGGAGGAGGTCGGAGCTACATAACATGCTTTCACACACACACACACACACACACACACAAACACTGATGCTTTTTTTAATCACTGTCACATTTTTTCTCACTCGTGGCAGAAAAATCAGACCCAAAGCTGTTCAGACTGCAGCTTTGATTTGAACGATGAGGATGTGATGAAACCTTTTATAGTCTCTGTCAGAGATCGAGGACACGCAGCAGCGAAAAAGGCTGAAGGATGAGTCACCTCCATTCACTGATGCGAGTATCTGCAGGTCCTAGAAAGTCTTAAAGCGAGCTGAATTCGGTTTCCACAAAAAGGCCTTGGGTATTACAAATCTGTTTTCATGTCTCTTTGAGCAATAATGTTAATTATAAGCTGTTTGTGTATGTGATGGCGGCTGTCGGGAGATGTTACAGAAGCTCCAGACGAAAGCTGAATGGTTTTGATAGAGGTTTGTTTTTTTTTTTGTGGACTTTTAACACAGCCAAAAGATCATCAGCTCAGCAAAAACAATTAACCCAAGAACTTTTTTTCTTGATGAAATACTTAAAAAAAACAACAAAAAAAAAACAGCAGGTTGTCTGTAGATGAACTAATTGCGCCACAGTGCACTGACTGCATTCTACCTGTGAGCCTGATAAACCTAAATACATTTTAAATGAACATAAAAAGCGAGCACATATTAAATCAAACTAACAAATGCGGGCTGCTGCTGTGGCTCAACTGGTTGGGCTGGCGACCCCTGTGCAGGGGCTGTAGTCCCTGACGCAGTGACCATGGGTTTGAGTCCCACCTGCTCATGGCCCTTTGCTGCAGGTCCTTCCTTCATTCTTCTCCCGACTTTCCTGTCTCTCTCTTCACTGTCCTATACAATAAAGGCAAAAAGGCCAAAAAAATAACTTGAACGAACTAACAGAAATGCCGCAGCGACAAAAGTATTAGCTCCACCTGCTGTTTATTTGTTTAACCAACACCAATTTAAAAAAATCTTGGTGGACTCAAGTTGGAGCTTTTCTTTAGCCAGTCATGGCAGAGAAATTTTTTTTGCAGTATCTGTGCTGTGTACCTGCTAGACTTCCATCCATCCATTATCTATACACCACTTAATCCTCACCAGGGTCGTGGGGGGCTGGAGTCTATCCCAGCTGACTCAGGATGAAGGTAGGGGACACCCTGGACAGGTCACCAGTCCATCACAGGGCTACACTTAGAGACAGACAACCAAGCACACTCACATTCACACCTACGGACAATTTAGAATCACCAGTTAATTAGATAGATAGATCGATAGATAGATAGATATTCATTCCTTTGGGAAAACTCAAGATATTGACATCAGAGCTAAAGTAGATTCTCCAAAAATGTTTAAACTGAAGCAGGGTGACCCCTTAAAACTCAGATCACAAAAAACGAGCAGCAACTGTTTTATTGACTTTCGGGAGCGAGCTGGCAGACTCTTAGTCGTTTGTCAAATCACTTAATAAAATTAATTTTTATAGACTTGCTGCATTCCAGTTATGTCTTTATTGATTATGTGACCTTTTTAAAGTAGCGCCTCAATGTTATTGATTTTCATTCCTCTCCTCTCGAATTGTGGAAATAGTGATGGTGGTGTTTTGTTGGAGCTTCTGCCATCTTGTGCCTGCAGCTTATTTTTAGTTCAGTTTACTGTGAGACATAAACTGTTCTCAGTAAGATATGAAGTGTTGTCGACTTTATCTGTTCTGCCAATTCCAAATGTGCCCATTTAGTGGTGAACATTAAGCGTCAGTGGTTAAAAACTATTCACACAAATAGTTATTTTCCTCTAAATGTGGTCAAATAAGTTTAAAGTTGCATCCATAGTTCATGCAAACAACCATTGAAAGGCCAATCAGAGCTGCTTGTGTAGTTGTTAAACATACGTGATATATAGAATATTATAGAAATGGATGGATCTATACAGGCACAGTGTAGCCTGTGTAGTTGGTTGGCACTAACGGTAACTGGACCAGATACTGAGTGATGACAATTATTCAAAATTATTTTCTTATAAAGAGAAAAAAAAAAAACTACTTTATTGCAGCAGATCAAGCATCTCTTCATTTGTTTGTCTTTCTATAAGTCTCTTTAAAATTCAAGAGGAATATAATCACTATTTGGTAAATTGGTGTTTTTCAAACAGGGAGGCAAAGAGAAAAAAGGGCTCTTAGTTCCTATCATACAACAACCAGAGTGCTTTAGGTCTCAAGTTGTTGGTGGATAGTTTTGACGCTGGGGTCTGTGGAGGCAGTTCTACCAAGAACAAGGAAGTTTGTAGTTTTACAATAGAACCAGGGTTTGAGTGAAGTTATGCAGTAGATATATTTTTCCATTTTGTTATGATGGAGAGCCAGTTGACAAACGGTGAAGTCACCCTTTAACATTCTCTCTCCGCTGCTCGTCTGTGCAGGTGGAGGAGGCGAGGAGGAAGAAGTTTAACGGCACTGTGCAGACCGTCCCTCAGACCATCACCGTCATCCCCGCCAACATCGCTGCAGCCACCAACGGCCTGCAGTCCATCTTCCAGACCTGCCAGATCGTCGGACAGCCAGGTCTCGTCCTCACTCAGGTGGCCGGGAACGGCGGCACGGTGCCGGTCGCCTCTCCTATCACCCTGACAGTCGCAGGCGTCCCCGGAAACCAGCCCAAAGCCGCCGAACCCTCAACATCCGAATCAAAGACTGAGATGTCGGCTGCGTCAGCCAGCACGTCGCTTGGTTTGGACTCGGCAACGACCAAACCGAAAAAGTCCAAAGAGCAGCTGGCGGAGCTGAAGGCGAGCTATGGCCGGAGGCAGTTCGCCACCGAGGCGGAGATATCGCGGCTCATGCAGGTCACCAAACTCTCCAAACGAGCAATAAAGAAGTGGTTCAGCGACACGCGCTACAACCAGAGGAACTCCAAGGATCACCACAGCCTGCTGCTGAGCGAAGCCTCATCCGGCAGAGCGGTGGCAACCGGAGGAGGTCGAGGGGGGAGGAACAGCAGCAGCGGCAGCCTTAACGACAGCAACAACAGCGACATCACCACCACCGCCACCACCATCGTCATCGACTCCAGCGACGACGCCAGCGACGCCTCCCCGACATCCACCAACGTTCCGGGCTCAGCCGGGCCCATCAGCGACCCACGTGTCAAATTCCGTCATGCCTTCCCCGATTTCACGCCGCAGAAGTTCAAGGAAAAGACTCCAGAGCAGCTGCTCATCCTGGAGGCCAGCTTCCAGAAATCAAACACACCCTCAGACGAGGAGCTGAGCCGGCTGCGAGCGAAGACGAAGCTGACGAGACGCGAGGTGGACGCCTGGTTCACTGAAAGGCGGAAAATGCCGTCAGCAGGGATGCTGAAAGACAGCGACGGGGAGGGTGACAGTGAGAACATAAAGCCAGACGATGCACCTTCATCCTCAGCTCAGGAGCGTCAGACCACTCCGCCTAGCTACAGGAAGGCCCTGAAGAAGACGCCGGAGCAGCTTCACATCCTGAAGAAGGCCTTCGTCCGCTCACAGTGGCCGACGTCGGAGGAGTACGACCAGATGGCCGATGAGAGCGGCCTGCCGAGGACGTACATCGTCAACTGGTTTGGAGATACTCGCTACGCCTGCAAGAACAGCAACCTGAAGTGGTACTACCTCTACCAGAGTGGAAAGGTGCGCATGCTTTCTGTATTATTAACACATGCTAATGATGGTCCTGCTCAGCATGGGCCTTTAGGGAAACACATGATCAGTCCAGGTACAGTGAACCCAAAGAGTCTGTGTTAACTTCATGAACGTAAATCTCAACACATCCCCAGATCATTTGATAAACACAAATCTACATTCTGTATGAGTCAATTAAATATCAAATAGCAGAACTGGTTAAAAAATAGATTTTTTTTTTGTTTTTTGATTCTCAATTCTTATCATCTTGGTGCTGCCTGAAACCACTGTTGGTGCCAAGAATTCCTCTATAGAGTCAAAACTGAAATAAAGGTTTTATATGTTTACCTGGTCCAGATTATGTTTTTATTTGTGATGAATGAAGGGAAGTCATGAAATGTTTGTACTTGTTAAGACCTTGACCTTAATGTTTGGTGGCTTTCAGGTGGAGGAGGCACTGAACGGTGGAGCAAAGATCCAGAAGAAGTCCAGGAAACGTTTCCGTGGTTGGTCCAGGAGGACGCGGCGGCCGTATCCCTGCAAACGTTCGCCACAGGGGGGCGCCAGCGCCATCAAGGTCAGTGTGTGCAGTGTATTTACCATCACTCCTGCCTGGGATTTGTATCCTTTTAATACAAGTTTCAATCTTTATTTTGAAGCTATTATGTGAGCTTCTTATGAAACAAAAGACAGGCTGATTGGCTGTTGCATAAATTATCTCTTTTTTTTTTTTTTTTTACTTCTTTAGAAAATCAGAAAATATACAAAAACTGCAACACAAAGAAACCACAATCAACAACAACAACAAAAAAGTATTTTACTGATTTCAGGTGATGTTCGTGTAATTTTTAAGTGTTGGAAAAGCCGAGCTTCCTTCTACTTGACATAAATTCACCATAGTCACATGAATAATTATTTTCCTTTAGTATCTCATCATGTGAAGCTCAAGATCTTTCTCTGTCCCAGGCTGCAAGTGGAAAAAAAAGCAGCTAATGTGACAAATGGTTATCGTTTAACTGCTTCCTGTTTAATCAGCAACTGAAAAGACAGCGGATGATTCGAAATGTATATGAAGATAGGCCCATATTTCAAAATAAAACATGTTTCTTAACTCAGTAACCACTGTTAACCAACTTTCAGCCACTTCCAGCTATCATTATCTTTTACCGGTGTTACGTGATGCAACAGGAAAGGTGTAAATTAGGGTTGAACAAAGTGCAATTTTCCGACAGATATTGTATTTTGATTTGCAACATTGACATGAATAGTAAGAGTCAAGCTTCTGTCCAATAGTCCCAAAATATAAGATTTAAAACATGTGATGGAGCATTACTAAATGAGCCCCCATCAAATGCATGACTGTCACACAAACAGGATGACATGAATTGGTGAATCCATTGACGTAACACTTTAAACTCTGGGTCAGACGCGCTGTAAAAAGTATAAGTTGTGGCTATTGAATAGTAAGGCTTCTCAACTCCTCAATGTTTCCATCTGCTGGAGTTAAATGAAATTGGATAACAGCATTGGTCTGATTATTTAATAGCCATAGCTCATATATCAGAAATGGCAGCATTTGCAATTTGCTGATTGCATTAGTTCAATTGTGATTTACAACTGAATAATTATTCAACCTGCATGTCAATTATTTCTAAAAATCAAATGCACATTTTGAATACTTTGATTTAAGCCTGGATGTAAAATGCTCAGGATGTTATCAAGCTTCCAACGTAACAATAACTGTCTTCAGATCTCAGAAATGTTCTGCTATCCAACACTAAGGTGTGTTCAAAGCACTTTAGCAGTGTTTATTGTGCGAACGACTCATTACTAAAAGAGTTGTAACTGAAGTAGTCATTGCCGGACTTTGGAGTTGCTTTGGTTTGTACATCCTCTCTTTTGATGAAGCTCAAACACAGTGGCGAGTTCTAAATTCTCCAGATATTGTGCTATGCCTGCCCGCTGTGCTCAGCACACCTCAGGAGCAGTCCAACCTGTAAGTAGCTGCTGTTTCCTGTAAAAAGTGCAAAGTTGCAGCCTTTCACAAAAATCTACAAGAGTCACGTGTTTCCTGTGTTTTGTATGAGCACAGACGTAGAATAAATAAAACTGTCTGCTTTTAAAGGCTGGACCCGTCTGGAGAACATGATTCGTCGGACTAGGAATCTCTGTAGCACCAAAATGCCTTATTTGTTTTATGTTCTGACACAAACTTCTAGCTCCTCGGATTTTGATTAATTTCTCAGCCCTGTTGCTGTTCAACTGGGAAAGTGCTGCAACGACGATGACGTTTATACATCTTGAAGCTGGAAAACAGACAACTCTTGAGCATTCCACCCAACGGAGGAGTAAATTTAACTGCTGCGTCAACGCTGTCTACAGACAGAAAAGCTAATAGTTTGATCATTTCATGCTTTTGAGTTTGTGTGCACCTCTAGATTAATTAACTTTTTACATTATAAATTCAAATCACACTGAAGGTAAAACTGTTCTGTACCAAATTTTGGAATTAGGCTGCTGTCGTTCCCACGACCTCTAACAACTCTAATTCTGTGTAATTTACATTTTAGTCTTGTGTATTTACACGTAGAAGTAGAAAACAAGACGCTGTGATTTCCGTAGTTCATGTCGGAGTAATTTATAAGCAGGAGTGACCGAACATGGTGATTATGGCTTTATAGTGGGGTTGCAGGCACTGCACGCTCTACCAAACTGAACAAATTACAGATGATTCACAAATGTATTTCTGGGTACTTTACATGTATAGTAAATAAGATTTTGAGCTGAAGAGCAGCGTAATTAGTTTCCTCTGCTTCCAGTTAGGGCTGGAACCGACAGGTATTTTCATTGTCGATTATTTCTTTGATTAGTTTTGTCTATAAAATGGCAGAAAATGGTGAAAAATGATCATCACAAATGTCCGTCTGTCATCGAGAAGTAAAGAAACCAGAAAAAGATTCATATTTAAGAAGCTGCAATTAGAGAATTTAGACTTTTTTTTAAATAAAAAATTACACATTAATCAATTATCAGAATAGTTTGTGATTAATCGTTGCAGCTTCACTTTGGTTCATGGTATATATTAAACTGTGACGTGTCACTGACAGTACATTAGCAGTTCTTAGTGTTAATGTCATTAACAATTCTCTTGACAGGCAGAGATACCAAACAGACAGATGCTTGTTTATATATAGTTAGGCAGAATTGTTTGACAGTAAATATGTACCGGAATTAACGCATTATCAGTGTTGTCATCTTGCTCTGCTGATGACATAATTCTCATACAGTGACCTGATGATTTTCTGGCCTCCTTCCCGCAGGTGAAGTCCGGTAAGACGTTTCTGAAGGACTACTACCTCAAACACCGAGCCCTGAGTGAGAAAGACCTGGACGACCTGGTGACAAAGTCCAGCATGAGCTACGAGCAGGTGAGAGACTGGTTCTCTGAAACTGCCAGGAGGGTGGAGGAGGGCAAGGAGCCCTTCAGCGACGAGGAGGCCGAGGGAGACGAGGGGGAGGAAGACGAGGAGGAGGAGGACGACGAGGTGGTAGCAGAGGAGCACGCAGACAGCGAAGTGGATATGGAGGTGAAGGAGCAAGGAGAGGAGGCATCGGAGGACGAGAAGGACGACGCCGAAGAGGAGGAGGAGGACGAAGACGAGGAAGCGATCCAGGAGGAATCTGAAGGTGACAGCCAATCACAGCCTGATGCAGAGGCGCAGACATGAGCAGACAGGTGAGCGCTTAGTAGCAATAGACCGATTATTGTGGCCGATATTTGGCATTTTTCCAGTTGTCGATGTTGGTATTTTTATTGGCCGATTATTGATCAATTAGATGTGCTGCTTCAGGTCTGATGCAGCCTCCTCTCTCTCTCTCTGTCTTCACTCTGTCGTCTCAGGAATGTCTCTCAAGCCGAGACTGCAAAAACTTCACAAGAAAGACAAACCAGGAAACTAACTCAAGCTATGCTAACGGCTAGTGGTTAAGTTAGAGGACAGCCACAAATTACCCTAAAACAGCGTCTGGAAAACAATCATTCATAATGCTTTAAGATGTGGACCTTAGTGGGCAATAAAAGTGACAGAACAGTAAAAGATTAGGAAAGTAGCAACGGAACTGCAGGAGACAAACTGATCAATCTCAGTGGATCCCAGAGGAGAGCGTTCTAACTTAATCACTCCTATTTCTATTTTACATATTCAGTTATAGTCAACCTTTTTAATTAAGAAGCCTAATTGTGAATGAGGGCTTCTCTGCTTTTACATGCTGTAAAACACAACATCGGGTTCATGGATTGGTTATCAGTCTTTTCAATCCGTAGTGTTTAGGATGAAAACTGTAGGTCAAGCTGAGTGAACTGACCAAAACATCATCTAGCCATCCTTTGAGGCACAGATTTCCTTCTGTGCTGACTGGAAGTATCGATTATCTTTGACACTTCTTTTGAAAGTTGCTGCCAATCAGCCACATTTCCTACGTGCAGACTACGCAGTCCTGGATGGTTTTCAGCTGCCTCTCCAGTGACTCTCTTGTCCCAGAGATGGACCCTAACCTTCTTGGACAGCACCTCATCACAGACAGACTTTATGGCATCATTGTTCTGCTCTGTGAGCTCAGTGCATGAACCAGTTCTCCACCAGCTGCAGTCCAAGACAGTGGAGTTCGTCCCCAGGAGGAGAGTGTGACTGGAGAGGCAGCTCGGACCACCAGAACAGAGACCTGCATGTGGGAGATTAAAGGCAGGACAATCAGCAACTGAACTTTCAAAATAAGGCATTTACTTCCACTTTCAGCACCCATATGCAATTTAGACGATTCCTTTAGAAAGCACATCATACGTCAAATTAAGATCATCTGGTCCGAAGAGTTTTTAGGACTACAGTTGCATTTTGCTTTCTGTTCCTTCTGATCAGTAATGGTTGGTACAGTACAGTTAACCAGGGTTTCAGACTACGACCATTTAGTGAGAGTGTGCAACTTAAAGTTTCCCGTGTTTGTACTTGTTCAAGTGTGGTGATCAGTGGCTACTGTGGTTGGAAACAGGACTTTCCTTCTTCACTGATTTAGTCAGTCTCTCCCTGTCTGAGGTGTGAAGTTTCCTGTGACCGTTTTAAATGACAATCTACAGCTGATCATTTAAAAAAAAAAAAAAGAAGTGGAGTGAGAGGAAGAGGCCCTGAGTCAAACTGACGTGATGATCAGAGGACAGGCAAAGATTTTGACTGTCAGTAAGAAAGAAAAAGTAGCTGACGCATTTCTAGGGCTGCAAAAAAATAAATATAACAGTGATAATGATTAAAACAAGGGATTAAATGAACAAAATAATAAAAAGAAAAATAGAACAGGAAAGAAGAAGAAGAAGCAGCAGATCATTCATGACTGATTAGTCTCAAAAATTTCCTTGTGCGACCTTTAGAGGGCTCCATAGTTATCTAACAATAGATTTAATCCTACAGTCCATCAGAGGGACTCGGGCTTCTAAACCTCACTGTGTTGTGTCATTTTAAACCGTTGTTTCTGGTTCCACTTTTTGAGGGTTTCCTTCTTCTTCTTTTTTTTTGTCTTTCACAGCATTGAATGTTTGGACTACACCTCTGTTTAGCACGCTGCCACGTAGTGTTTCTGTTGGAGATGCTAAAGAACTCGATGTCCACTGCCCCAACAGAAAACAGGACACCCTCCGCCTCGTGGCAGCGCGCTGAACGGAGGAAGAAGTCACCTTGGAGTCGCTGATGTCATGGCTGACGTCAGCATCTGCACTGATTAACGGATGTGTTTCTCCTCCTTCGCTCCACAGATTTGATTCCCCCACTGTGGAGATGAGGTGGAGGACGTCAGTGTTTCTCAGCTGGCGGCTCGGGACCCAAAGACGTCCGCAAAGAAGCTCAGACGGATCACATGTCGTCAAACGGCGGGTTTGTGCCTTCAAAAACGAACTTTGGGTCGTGATGCAGCTGAGAATCACTGAGTTAAAGGATTTCGTTTGTTCTGCTGATGAACTGTGGGGACCAACTCACCGTGCAGGAAAACAAACGCCTTTTTCCAAACACCACGAGCGAAAGTTCCAGCTCTGCTCCTGTGAAACAACAAGGCTTTTATTTTGGTGAGAATGACTGGGCTTTTATGTCAATTTTCTTACAAAATCAACGTTTGTACAAAGGAAGAAGAGGTGAGGCCTGCTGTGGTTCCTCCTTATCAAAATAACATTTTTAAGAATTAAAGAGGAACCATCGGACATTTTTCTCCAGGGAACGTCCTCGACTCAAACCCAACAACGAGAACACGTCGCTGTTCTAAAGGTTTTTTTTAAAAACCACAGATTTTTGTGAATAGACAACTCAGATTAGTGCCATTCTGTTTATAAGTTTGATTCAAATTAAGGAAAAAAAAAAAAAAAAAAAAATCAGTGCTGGAATGAATTCCACATCAACGTTTTAACTTTTTGTATTTTTTCCAAGTGATTTGTTAGTTAACAACACATAATGGAAACTGAATCCATTATACTGTTATGATGCTATTATGAGTTCTTTTGAAAATGGTGATAATTTCCATGTTTGCAGGTGTTTGGGTCCATTCAGTTTCAATGACATCAATTCAGTCTGTGAACCAAACAGCCTCAAACACTGAAGGATGGAATTAAAACGGGAGGCGTGATGGGAATCCAGCAGAGCCAAATCATTAAAGGGAAAATCACATTAAAACACAGTGTAGAAGTCATTATACCCAACACAGTGGACCTAAATGTACCAAAAAAAACAGAAAACTTTGACAACAGCCCACCTGATATGAGATTTTTTGGTCCAGCACCAATAACTAGTCTTTAAAAATCCAACAACAATATACTGACTAATATAAACAGAAATCAGGTCATTAGAGACCCAAATTAATTAATTCTCAAATGGATAAGCTCGACATATTTGGTTTTTCTGAACTACAGTTTCTTTGGCCAGTAAATCCTCCTTTCATGAAGCTTCTAATGTGCAGTTAGTGTGCAGAGAAGTGAACTGCATTATTTAGTCCACACCACATACAATCAAAGAGTGTCTCAATAATAAAAGCTTCTCAGTTCAACAGCAGCTTCATGAAGGGACGAGCGTCTGCAGAGCTGCTTTTTCTTTTCTTAAAGCGCCGTATTTCGCAGCTAATTTCTTCCTCGTATCTTGTTTAAAGATTAACTTCTACTTAGCTGGAAATTATAGGATATTTCCAAAATCGTCCTTCACAATTTGTTACTAATTATGGGAAATGGAGAGTTCGGGAATCAAGTAAAAACAAGGAAGTTACATACGATGGAATGAAAAACAGTTTCCCTGAAAGACGAACAAAAATTCCTAATTTGGATTCTTACTGATTGAGCTGCTTCATTAAGTACTTTTTTTTTTTTACCTGCACTTTTCAGCTGCAGTGGAAATCAATTAGTTTTCAACTGATCTGATGATAAACAAAACTCGCTGCATCCTATTAAACTTTGAGCCACTCAGCAGACATACTAACAGATTTGTACCTCATTTCCATGAGGGATGTGTGTAATTAGTCCAAACAGTTCAATGTTGCTGCTCTCGACAACACAGTAGTTGATTAAAGCAATTATTTTATTAATGCAAACTGCCGGTTAACGGTTGCGTTGTGCTACGTTCGTCCAAGCAGTCGCAATCGTTGTATAGGTTGCACTTTAATATTGTGAGTTTGTACGGCTGCTACTTTGGTCAGGTCTCCCTTGTAGATGAGATTTTTGATCTCAATAGATTAAATAAAGATTTAAATAAATAAAATAATAACATTAAATAAAAATAGACGCATAAAGCACCATAGAAGAAGACACAGCAGGTCATTCATGACTACGTGATTGATCCGTTTCTAAAAACTGTATCAGTTTGAGTTTTAAATGTGGGTGAAAACTGTACCTTGATTCCAGAAAAGCTTTTCATGTAAAAACACATTTAATATGTTGACGTTGCTATCTTCGCTAGTCTGCACCAAAAATACTAGTTAATGAAACTAATTATGTATCTATACAACACAGGGTAACTGTTGCGTTTGTAGTGTTGTGCAGCCAGTCGCTTACTGCACTAGTGGGAGGGGAACAGATGACAAACCAGCTCAGTTTGGCAATATTTTGATATAGAAAATGAGAATAAGGTTATACGTAGGTGGAGTCAGAATAAACTGGTGTAAAAACACTCAGCCTGAGCATCTGCAAGGTGTTCTACGATTTGATTATCGAAAAAATGTGACTAAATACGAGCAATACTTTGTAATACTTAACCGTATTGTTACGTCGTGCTCAATTTTTAAGTGTTTTCGTACTTTTAGACGAGTTGACAAGTGTAAATTAAATTACTGTTTCATCGAAAGAGAAATTAATTGTTAGGAACGTTCCTAATTTAAAAATAAAGACAATCAGCGTGGCTCATTTTCTGTCTGATCAATGGTGAAGAATTTTTGTTCATCTTTCTAGTAAAGTTTATCCACGTACATTTTTTACAAGCTATGCATGAAATAACAAATAGGTAGTTAATTCCTGAAGAGAGTAACATTATTATTAGATTTTTCCTGTGTAATTAGCACCAAACAGTGCAGGAGTTAACAAGTAAATAACAGCTAATATTTAAAGATTTATGAGGAAAGGTTCCTGGAAATTACCTGATAAATACCGTCTTACTATCAAGTATTTGATCCAAAATATTTGCATGTCTATCAAACTTACCAGTGTTCACAGAGAGCAGGAAGGACTTGTCAGACGGCATTCTGGGAAATGTAGTGTGGAAGAGACGAAGCGGTTCACTGAAATGACAAAAGAAAAACCACCAATTAAACACTAATAGCTTCTGTTGTCGTGGATTTTCCCTTTAAGGTCGAGCTCTACATTAAAGCTCTGTCAAGATTTTAACAAAGAAACACGAGCATCCTTCTCTGTTTCAGTGGTTTTTCAGGCGGTTACAGATTTACAGTTTCGTCATCTGTTCTGTTCCTAAAACGCTTCCTCTGTGGGTTCACAGTCTCCTTAAACAATAGGCTGAATTTACAGAGTTGATCGACTTGAAAGGGATTTGAACCCAAATGCTGTTAGTGTCCTTGTCCAAAAAAAAAAAAAAAGAAAAAGAAAAAAAAAACTAAACAAAACAAAGGCATGTGTGCTCTACTTCAGGAAACAGGCAACTTTACCTCAGTCAGTTAAGCTACAAACTTGGTAAGATTGTGACATTTACACTTTACGACAGTTTTCTTTTTTCTAGAGAATTCAATACTGTATGCATGAATACGAGTACACAGTAATAATTATGTCTTTCAGATGGCGTTTCTTTTTTTTTATTATTATTAATATTATTTGTCCTCGCCACCAAAGTAAGTGAATCACTTTAAAGAGAGAAAAAAAAAAAAGAAGACATAGTTATTAGTGCATTTATTTGCTCAAATACGGGTGAACTACTAAACAATATCTTTCAGGTTTTTCAAAGGAATTACAGACAATATTTTAGGGACAAGAAACCACAAGCACTTGGATCAGTTCCTACGGGAACTTTTTAACTTTTCATATGTGGGGGGAAAAAAAATAAACACGCTTTTTTTTTTTTTGTTGCTTTGCTCTCTCTTCCTGTGTTTACCAAACCATGTAGGACTCTGTTAGGATATGCAAACATCAAAGAACAATCAGCGGGTAGCGCGGTGGTGGACTGTAAAATCTGCGTCTCTTTGATTTTGGTTTTCAATGATTTCATCAGCAACGTGGGATCCTTATATGAGCTCTGTAATTTTGCAAAGTTAAGTCTTTCTGCCATTCTTTCGATTGCTTTAATAGCCAACCGTTTTTAGTAGTTAATTTATTTATTATATCTGGACTTTCATGGATATCTTTTTGGTCTGCAAGTAAAAAATAAAAACTTAAAAAAAAAAACAAAAAAATGAATAGTTTGGTTTAGGTTTTGTTTTTTAACCTCTCTTCAGTCTCTTCACTCCAGACAGGGTTTCTATATAACAGTATGACGTGATTAAGTACATTTACTCATGTATTGTACGCAAGTAATATCCTCATATTGTAAGTTGTAAAAAAACAGAATAGAAAAGTGTTACATTTTCTATGCTAAACAATATCAAGACATTTTATCAAAGTAGTATTGCATGATGGGGTTTTTGTTTTATTTTTGACAGAGTTTACTGTAACATTTTTTCAACATACTACACTGTGAGTTTTTGTTAATAATATGCTGACATTTTTTTCTACATAGTAGACTATGACGTTTTTTTGGCATATGAGACTATGAAGTTTTAAATACTAGACTATGTTTTTCAGACAGACTGTACTATGAAATTGTATTTGACATCGCATTCTGTTTTTTTTTTTTCGACATGCTATGATGGGTTTTTTTTCGGACATACTGTACTATGACATGTTTTCCATCATAGTATAGTGTTAGCCTGATTCTTTAGTTGGAAGCCCAAGAACAAACTGGAGAAATCTTCAGTTCACAGATGTAGAATTTATTTAGCTCACAGGTAAAGCGAGGCAGCACTGGGGTCGGAGTGACAGGGAAAGGAGCCCCGATATCTACAAATGCTTCACATTTATCTTCTTGGGCCGGGCCTGCCCCAGACAGAGGTTGGACTTACTGAGGTAAATTTGCCAGTTACTGTGATGTGAACAAGCTTAACCACTGTTCACGTGGAAGTGTGTGTGTGTGTGTGTGTGTGTTGTCCAAAAGGCGTGTATCTACTGATAGAATAGAGGAGTTTCAATTGTCTCCCAGTATGTGAACCAGTTGTCACCGGCCAGGTTATCTTCAAGGGCGTGCATTGTGCTCAGAAGAAAAGTGCGAAACAGGATCACAGGTTTAGTGAAGAAATACAGATTCAGAATACATGATGGTTCAAAACACAGCTAATTATAACAATAGTATGTTTTTTAGGACATCCTGTACCATGACATTTTTTTTCAACATGGTGTTTTTTCCGTCATCGTATTCTATGATGTTTTTCTGACATTCTGTACTATGACATTTTTTCTGTCAGTATACTACGAAGTTTTTCGGACTATGATTTTTTTTTTGACTTAGTATTCTATGATGGGGTTTTTTTGGACATACTGTACTATGATGTTTTTCGGACGTTCTGTACATTTTTTTCGACACTGACATGTTCTAGACATACTCAGACAGTCTTTGGACCTACAGCATCATGTCACCAAATTAATCTAAGGGGTCCTGTGACATTATTGGAAACCATGAAAGGTTGTGATACACACACATATATCTTTAGTTTTGGTAGATTCTTCTTCTGTTGGATTTTGTTGTTCAAGACTGGACAATTACAGCTACTTTCATGAAACCACTGAGAGAAGAAATCGTGGTCTTGCAAAAAAAAACAAAAACCCTCAAAAATCTGTGACATAAACGAGGTGCTGTGTCACCTGTCAAAATGGTTGGAAACCACATAAGTCAGTGGATAAAGTCCCTCAAAGGTTTACTTAAGCGGAGCACTTAAATAAACATAATTAGCGATCTTCCACAAGGGTTTGTTCAAACTAAATCACCTGATAGAGTCCATGTAGCGTTGTGCCCCAGCGAGGACGGGGATAGAGAAGACAGGCCCCGCTCAGATCGACTCCATACAGCTCAAGTGTCTCTGATAGTGTCTGAAATCAAAGAAAGAAACATGAACAGTGTTAGTATTGCAAAGCACCTGAGAGCTGAGAGTCCACACTGGGTTGTAGAGACGGCGTCACAGTGTCAGAGACAGAACTACGGCTGAATCAGTCACATTGTATTTGTAAAGCAGCTTATGAACAGGTTAGTGCAGCTGAAGGACTTTACAGATCAATGACAGCCTGAACGCTAAAACACTGAGTCTCGTGTGCACAAGAAAAAATAATACAAAAACCTTTAAAAACAGTGATAATTAAAAAAATAAATATATCAGAACTAGATACAATAATAAAAGACAACAATGAATACAATTATAAAAGGGGGAAAAAACATTTTTAAATTTGAAATATGATAAAAATAAAGGCGTCACGTTGACACACTTTCACCTGAACTGAAAAGCTGAACAAGTTTTGTGTTCTAAATGACTAAAACGTGTGAATTTCATCAGATTAGTTACTCATGATCAGAACTTCTATAAAAAGTGAGAATAAACTGCAGTAAAAAAGGAAACTGAGCATCATTCGATACCCGCTGTAAAGATTTCATACCAATATAAAACTATTTTTACCGTCATCTTATCAGATTTCACAGCTGTATGTGTGAATGTGTCAGTAAACGGACTCAATGTTTCAGCAAAAGAAATTATTATTATTATTATTATTATTATTATTATTATTATTAATAATAATAAATAAATTATATTTTTGAAATAAAGGGGGAAAAAAAACACAGCTCAGTTGTTTATTTCATCCAAACATTTATTGATTTATCCAGAAAGAGACCAAATATTAAATAATGACTGAAATTAGGATTCAATTACAACAATAGAAGCTGGTTAGTTTCTCCTTTTTCTTCATATTATTACAAAGGAGGTCTGTGGAAGTTAGTTTGTGCTTCTTTTAAAATCGATTTGGGGAATTTTGGCCGTAAAATCTAGATTAAAAATGCAGGATTTTTCCACGTATGTGTGTTCAGTGTCTGAGAAATTGAAAAACCTATAATGTCTTGTTCAGCTGGAGAATCAAGCTTTGAGGTGTTTCCATTTGACACTGTTGACTTCTGCTTCTTTAACACAGCAGCAGCAACAGCACTTGATCCTCACGTTGCACACTTTCTCTTATACCTGTAGTATTTCTGCAGCGTTGTATTGTACTTGATTCTGAGCATCTGAATAACTCAACCGCTGCTCTTATGTAGCTTTACATTCACACGAGGCCACAGATGTAGACGGAACTTTTTGCTCCATAAATTGAGCAATGAGCTTTGACCGCCGCACGCTGAGCGTCGCCCAAATGTTAACTTAGATTTTTTTTCCTTCTTATAAAACACCATCGAATGGATCCTTGTAAACAAACATCCCATTTGAACGTCTTTGCTTTTACTTCGGCTGTTCTCGTCCATGTTTACGGCAGCAGCAGCTTCGTTCCTTTGCTCCCCGTTCCCTGCACTATTTATTTTTTTTTGTCCTTGGTGACCCGCCTGAATCATTCAAGGTATTCAGAGCCGTCGCCAAGTGCGCCTGGTGAAACACCATAGAAACCAGCAGCACCATAGAAACCAGTCTAACCAGTCCAGGGAACATGCTGTTCTCCTGCACATTCATACCACTGCCACTGCATAATCGACTCCACCTTCAGTTTAACAGACTTCGCTTCTCATTTTAGGGACTTTTTTTTTTTTTGTCTTTTTTAGGCTAAACTCGGGACGCGTTTGGGTGAATTTACGTGCGAGGTTGCCGGAGACATTTTCGGGAGCCATGTTGGGGCGTTTTGGCACGTCGGTGTGGTGAGGATTGTGGTTCGTCTTCTTGTTTCCTCTGTTTCCCAGCAGATGGCAGTGTGAGCTCAGACATCCTCCTCTCCATCTCCTACTGTAAATCATGTAAAGCTGGTTGGGGTTAGGTAATACACCATTTGTTCACAGATCTGGGCATTATCCAGCCTTCCTGGAAGTTCACTGGCTGGAAACCCAGTGCCACTCTGAGCGCTTTTCCCCTCATTTTCTCTGCTTTTCTGTTTTTGTTTTTTCTTCTGCCTCCGTTTTTAAAGAGGAGGGGGGTAAAGCTGATTCTTTTCTTTCCTGACAACACCGAGCTCGGCCCCATTTTGTGGCGTCGGGTCTCCCTCGAAAACACCAGTTACACGCCGCAAATGGTCTGGCAGGGGCCTCTGTGAAAACACAAGCAGACCGCCGGCCTCGCAGGAGATAAAAGTTGACTGTGCTTAGGATTTTTTTTTTTTGGAAAAAGGACAGAAGGGAGGGGAAAAGAGGAAAGAGGCGGCGACTGAAGAGTTAACCTGCATCAGACCCGACTGAACCAGGGGTGGGACCTGCTCCCCTCCTAATCAGAGCAGAGAGAAAGGGATGAAGGAGGAGGGGTGAGGAGGAGGAGGAGGAGGAGGAAGAGGAGGAGAGGGAGGAGGAAGAGATAATTGGAGTCGACACGAGTGGTGTGACGGGCCGAACAGAGGCCGTGTGAGGACAGCCGAGAACCCTTTCACTACTGACCTACTTCCACTAACACACGTGTTTGAATCTATGGAGCCGGACGACGACGACTAAATCTCACACTGGGTGCTTTACACTCCGCCTGGGAGCACACTGACAACAAGAGGTTCTGTTTTGGACCTTTTGCAGGTTCTGTGTCACGTGTCGGAACACAAATAGCATCCGTGAATGCTTCAATAGAGAATTCTATTACTCATAAGCATTTAAAGGCTCTTTGAGAGTCGCACAACCTGCTCAGATAAAATCAATCAGCTGTGTTTTCATAACATCTTTTTATACACATTTTGAATTATCACCTCAGAAAAAGTTAATGGAGAAATTCGAGAAAAGCTTCCACAGTTTCAGAAGAAGGTTTCTTGCCTGCTTGAGGGGATGTTTTTTCTAAAAAGAGTTGATACTCCTCATGGAAGATGGAAACACCTTTCTGAAAAGGTTCTTGCGTACTGAACATTCCTGTTGCCTACAAGAATGATTACAACTTTCCAGATCGAAAACAATTCTTCAAGACTTCTCTACGTATTTCTCTCATAGATGACCAAAGTTTTGCTTGTTTCTTTCTGATTCAGGTGTTCTAGCGGTTGTCAGACAATTGGCGCCATTTCTTCTACTTAATTACATGCATAACGTAGCCTACAGCGCCACCTTCTGATGACACATTTACTCCAAAGCGGTTAACGGAAACAATTCACATTTGCTTTAAATTCTGTTTAGAATTATACGAGAACACAGCGAACAAAAGTATTCCAAA